GATGTGCAGCCGACAAATCTGCGGCAACTGTGTGATGCCATCATGTCAATATGGACCAAAATCTCTGAGGAATGCTTCCAGCACCTTGTTGATTCTATGCCACGAAGAATTGAGGCAGTTCTGAAGGCAAAATGGGGTCCAACCCGTTACTAGCGTGGTGTACCTAATAAAGTGGCCGGTGAGTGTATGCTCCCCTACTGGACGTCAAACTTGCAGTTATGGCGGGTGTCTGAGCTGCACTTCAAACTGCTGGACCACAGACACCACCCATATTGTTTTCAATGAACATGTTTTTATTTAGATGTTAAATACCATCTTTAGCTGTGTTAGAAACGTAAGCAGCAGTTAGCATTAGCTAATTAGAATGACGTCATCACCCTGACAAATGTCATTCTATTTAGCTAAAATCGTTCAAATAGCTGCCGCTGCTAGCGACTGCTAGAGATGGTATTTAATACAGTATATAAATTCAAAATGTGTACAAAAAAACATTAATGGTACCTGCGGTCCAGTAGTTTGAAGCTGGGACATGTAAAACCTAAATGTCAGTGGAAAATTTTTAACACTCATAAATAATGAAAAATATGTTTGTGCATTTTTTTTTTAATATTTCATTTTACAATTGGCGCCCCATACCAAAAAGCAACAGAAAGTAAACTCGGAGTTTAAAGATGGTGAAATGAAGAGAAGAGGAACCTGGTCCCTCTGTCACTGTGACCGCTGAAAAACAATGACATTTGTGTTTTTTGTGCCTCAAGCAGCCCCAGGCAGGCTGCTTGCTAAAACACAGCCATGTGTGCAGCAAAGCCTGGAGGTGACACCTGGCCTTTAGAAAGCCGAGACGTTGTGTTTGTGCGCTCAGCAGCACAGTCGCTGTTCATCAGCAGAAGGAGCGAGACGCACACAGACGAGTGTCCCCCAGAGGAGCTGGACAGCCTGTCTGCACCTACTCACAGCTGACTTCTGTCGACTTAAAAGGGATACGATTTTTTTAAGTGGGGTTCTGTGGGAAAAAATATAACAATTATCTAACCTGCTGAAGATAGATCTTTGAAGGATCTCAAGGCCTTGTCCTCAGTGACGAGGGTGTTGCTTCGGTCATTCGTGGTGAAGAATTGAGTCAAAAGGCAAAGCTCCCAGCTTTCGTCTGGGTTTCAGTCCTCTCCTGTGGTCACTGTGGATCATGACCAAGAGAACGAGATCCTTGATAAAAGCYTTCAAATGAGCTTTCTTTGCAGGGTGGTCAGACTCAGCCTTACAGATAAAGCGAGGAGCTCCATCATCCAGGGAAGCTCGTAGTAGAGCTGCTGCTCCTCTGCATTGAAAGGAGTCAACTGAGGTGGTTCGTCTTATAAGGTTGCCTCTGTTAGGAGATATTTCAGACATGTCCCACAGGAACGAGACCAGAGCAGACCCAGAACTCATTGGAGGGATTATTTATCTTCTTTGGCCCCAGGAATGCTTTGGGAGCTGCAGAGTGTCACCAAGGACATTTGAGGTTATAAGGCCCAGTCAGGCTAGCCATTTGCTCATAGTTTTCTAATATTAGTTGTTTGATATTCTCACAGAACCCCACTATTTGAATTATTTTAAAGTTAGAATCTCTACCAGTATTTTCTTTTATTTTTAAACTAGTAAAAACTATATACAAGAATAGAAAAAAGATATAAAAGGTTTAACCTGACTGAAACTTCACGACATTTAAGTTTTTTCATTTTTCTTTTTATTTATGTATTTTCTATAGTGTTGGACATTGTATGATTTTTCTTAAAAAGGTACAAGAGCTTTGAATTTGTGCTCTTTTAGTTTTGACCATTTAACACAGCAGTGGTGGATCTAGGATTTTTCAGTGTAAGGGGCCACAATATTCACATTGGGGCCAAGTATTTGTTCAACACCCTTGCTCACAATTTCCCAGTTTTTGTAAGTTTTATACGTTTAATCAGTCACACATGTTCAAAACACTTGTAAAAGCTTGCACAGTAAATTCTCCTTACCAATTTTACAGGATTTTTTTACTGTACATAAATAAAATACTCTCAAACACACATGTAAGAAAATCTAGCCATTGCTGTCAGTAAAAAAAACTTTCCTACAGGATTGTACAAATTGAAAAAAAAAAAAAAAAAGACGTCTGTAAGCTTGCTCCATGGTTTTCCTATTTGACTCACTGGCGCCACCAGTGGTTGGAAGTGGAACTGCAGCCACCATCTTGGGCAAGGACAGATGAGTGAAAGGACAGGGACACTTCAGGAGGTTAATCAGATTTCAGATGGGGCCAATGCCCTTGTGGCCCCGCCCCTAGAACCACCTCTGCACATCAGTGAGACGTAGGATTCAGTTTTGCTCTGTGGGATCGAAAACCTTGGATCAATCCAAAGCTGCTGCCTCAAACCACACCAGGACTACTTTAAATGGAACGATATTATCGTTTGAAAAAATATATAATTTAACTACCCCAAACTCAGCCTTACTAATGTCACAAGCCATTTGAAGTGGAAAAGTTTGGGAAAGCCAAACCATGACCAAATTTATCCAATAAGAAGAGCAGCAACGCCACCCAGTGGTCATTTGTAACTACTGCACAATTTGAAAAAACCTGAAAATATGAAACCATCCAAGGCAGCAGTCTGTACCACCCCATCAGTCACCTGTCCCCTTCCTTCTATATGACACAACACTTACTTGGGAGTGGGGGAACATAAATACTAAATACAAGATTTAAAAAGTTCATATCAAGCCTTTTATTTGGTATTCATATTAATAGATTTATACAGTATATATATTGATATATATATATGTAACATGTGCCACTGCAAAAATCACAAACTTAACTTTTTTTTCCTAAAAAGAATAAAAAGGTAAACCATAACTGCTTTATGTCAGAATAGTCCTGTGAAGTGCTTGTAATGAATGACTGGAATGATGAGGTTAATTTAATGAAAAATCTGTAATAATAACAACAACAATAATAATAATAACAATAACAATAATAATAATAATAATAATAATAATCTACTGAAACAAATGACAGGCAACTGAGAACTACAGTGGCAGCATGGACCCTTAGTGTCAAACTTAAGAAAAGACAACACACACACGTAATTGTGCATACAGGCAGTTCATGAACATACAAACAGGAAGAAAAGTTAATCAGAAAAGCAGAAACCCTCATGTTACTTTTATCCATTACAGAACAAAAGAACTCATGCATGCTCTGAAAACCTAAAAAAATAAAATAAAATAAATCTCTTTCAAACCACATACAGACACACTGAAAACACAGTCATGTACCAAAAATCCTGTTACAGAGCTAACCCACCCCCTAATAATGCTTGCACAGTTGTGGCACATGCACGTACGCACGCACGCACACACACACACACACACACACACACACACACACTGAAAGTGAGGACCTCTGTGCATGTACAGAAAAGAAAATTAAAAATCAAATCTACAATGCCATATTCGAAACAGAAAAAGGATAACCATGGAGGAGAAAGTGCTGCACAAACATTTAAGGTAATGCTGATTGTGTGTGTTTGTGTGTGTGCACAGATGTGCGTTAATTCACGAGGAGCAGGCAGTGCTGGACGTGTTTGACAGACAGCAGGGAGAGGATGGCTCCCTCCTGTGGTCACTCTGAGTCTCTCTGGACCTCCGAGGCATCGGCTCGACAAATGGGACACGTCCTGTTGGCCTGAGGACGGACAGAAGATAAATTAGCTTTTAGAGCCGATTCCCATCAGAAGACACATTTTAACAAAGATGCTCCAAATATAAACGAGAGCAGGACGTCAACAAAGCGTTTCCTGGATTATCTGAACTGATTTGACTGTTTGGTCGAGTGGTCATGACCCAGGTCAGGGATCAAGAAGCTGACGTCTCATCAAAACGTGTTATGATTGAACAGAAATCACATACAGCTAATTTAGATGGTTTGTTTTCTGGAGGAGGTTGTTTCATAATTTGGTGACRAATAGCGAGTTTTAGAACATTTGCACAAATCTCCTGCCAGGTAAATAATCTGGCAAAACCTGAAAAGGAAAATGTTTTGCCTTTTAAAAGAACCAAAACCTGTTGACTGACTCCACATACAGCATGTTGTGAATACCTGCTCAGAGGTTTCAATCTGCAAAACAATCAAATCAAAAAAAAAAAACGTGAACAAAACACAGAATCTCTGTCCAGAAAGCGTACACCCATCAACCACACTTACAGTCTAAAAAAAGGTGAATTATTTGTAGTAAAAACAGAAAATGTCTGATTGGCAGGACACAGCGTCTCTAGTCGGTGCTCACTCACCCTAAGCCACTTGTCGACACACTTCCCGTGGAACTCGTGGCTGCAGGGCAGGACTCGCAGCAGTTGTCGAGGCTCAAAATCACTCATACACACCACGCACCTGCAACCAGACAGGTGTGTTAGCATCACGTGCAGCAACACGAAAACCTATTGTGTAAACACACTTGTTTGTTTTTTTTCCAGCAGAACCAATGAGGCATTCAGGTGATTTCTTGACCTGTAACAGACTTTCACAACATTTAGGGACAATACTTAGATTAACATTATTTATGGGCTATATCTAGAAGAAAACATGTTTAGTAAATAGTTTTTGTAAAACAGAAGCGTCTTAGTTGTCTTAAAGTGGTTAGGCAAATAAACTTAAGTTAAATGCTTCAAATCTTGACAAAAAATAATAAAAAAAAAAAGCTAGGGCTGTGAAATTAATTGAGTTAACTCTGAATAATTTTAGTGCTGCATGGGCATACYTTAAAATTTTTAATCACGATAATAATTTACAATCACTTTACTTTGGCTGAATATGTAGGTTTGTATATTTCAATGCACTCAGTGCATGCCAGGTCATGTTTGTAAATGACAAGTGGTTCTCAAACAGTTTACCTGGATAAATAAAGGTTAAATAAATAAAATAAAAAAACTCAGTTTGTAACACATTATGTACAGGTTTTTTTTTTTCTTTTTGTCTTCTTATGGCTTATTTTATTTTATTTATTTATGTTTTGCTGACAACTGTGACCTTAGTTTCTATCTTTCATTCCTCATGTTCTCATTTGAAATGAAAATCCTTGAACTCTTGATTTAACCTCATTATTCTGCACAAAATTTAACTGACTCAAATATGTTTGGAGCATTTTTAGGTCCTGTTTTATATTCAAAAAAATCATGTCTAAGCATCAATTTTGTTTTCTAAATAAAAACATTAAAAACTCAATAACTCAAGTAATTTATTTTATCAATATGCAATAGCATATTAAATTTAAAATGAATCACGATTAATTCACAGCTACTTTGAGATTAATCAGATTAAAAATATTAATCATTTGACAGCCCTAAAAAAAAAAAAAAAACAAAGAAAACTCACAGTGTTTGTTCAGACTGGTGATTATTTGGATTAAATCGATAAGAAGGAAGCTGTTCGATGTCTCCCTTGGTCAGTCCTCGAAGTTTGGCCTCTCCCAGGCGCTCAGCGAGGTTCAGGAGGGCCTTTAGATAGAAAATGTCACCAACAGCATACGAATGAGACACCTGCCTCCTGTGAGCGTATACACAAGTTAATAAAATGGACAGCAGCCAAACCTCGTAGTTCTCTACCTCTCCATCGTCTACGTCCAGCTCCAGGCTGATAGCAGGACCTGTGGGCTGGACTGGCAGCATTGATCTACGCAGAGAGATTTGAAAAGCTTTAAGAAGTCATTTTCCTAAATCATTATTCATTCACAAAGATAAATATTACAGAAATTTTTAATTTTTTTTATCTAAATCATCAATATAAGAGTCTCTCATAAATTATAACAAGAGTGCATATTTCAGAAATAGACATTATTCAACATTTAAATTCAGTATAAATTGTTTCAGTGAGTGAGTTTCCCAGTCTACCTACAGGAAGTAAGGCAAGAGGCTGGGGTGGTAAGGCGAGGGTGGAAGCTGTTGTGAACGATAACGCCGCCCCGGGAGACGCCGAGGAATGAAGTTTGGATAGGACTGGAAGGGAAGCGTGATGATAAAAACACGTCAGGATGAGAGCACAGAAATTAAAATATGGACACCCCGCTGAAGTTTTGGACGACGATTCGTTTCCAAGCATCCAGACTTTCTCGTAAAAAGGTCGTAGTCAGCAGTTTGTTAAACTTTAGCTGCTTTTCGCTCCTTTTTCTGTCCAGTTCTTGTACCTGACAGCAGGATGTGGAGTGTGCAGGAAAGAAAAACAAGTCTCAGGCATTAGAACTAATGGGAAGGAGATGAACGGTATCTGAAAGTCATATTTAGGAAAAACAGCAACGACCTGACAGATACATGAAGGATGTATCATCCTAACACTCCGTGCCGAATTTAGAGCTAATAGTTGTTTTGAATCACGTCACTGGAGCTAAAATGCCATTTTATATTTGTCAAACTGTGTTGTCGTTTGTATTTTTCATAGTTTTACCTAAAGAAATGGGAATAAATGTACTTTAGTTGCAGGCTGCTGGCAACGCAGTCTCTGAAAATTCAATTTACGGTTAGTTCTTTGCCAAGTTTTCTTTTATGTGTTGACAACATTGGTTCATCTTTTTGAGTCCAGGAGGTTTTTTTATGCCTGAAAGTTTTAGGTCTGAATTGGGCAGCATAGAACCTCCTTTGACAATGGTCTGGACCACAAAAACTGATTGAAAAGCAACAAAAGTCTAATGAAAAAAAAACTGAAAGACCTTCAAAACGTCCAAAGACTTATTGATCAAAACAAATTCAAAAAGATGATTAAGTCTGGCTGCTTGGAAGCAAAACTTGATGGATAACTTGTAACGTTTAATCTGTGTGTGTTTTCAATGCTCACGACTCCGAAGAACTCCTGAGGCAGAGGATCATGGGAGAGGAAGTGGAGCTGTGTGGAGTGAGGGGTGAGGGCTGGGTGTGCAGCAGGAGAATAATGGAGCCCAGCACCCAGAGACAAGTGCTCTCCAAGCAGCTCGACGTCGTTCTCTATCCTCTGTAAAGGCTGAGGAGACGAGAGACAAGAGTGAGAAAACAAAAATGTTTTTTCAGTTGATATTTATCATTATCAAACATAACAAAAAAGCAAAATGAACAAAAGAAAATTTGTAATTCTCAGTTCAGTCATTTTCTGCTACAATAATAGTTTCTAGGTTTATGTTAGGACACAGGTCAAACTCAAGGTCTGTGGGTCAAATGTGGCCAGCCACGGGATTTCCTGTGACCGGCGAGAGCTTCAAAGATGCATTAATGTCTTAAAATACACATACAGTATGCTGCTTTAAAGCCAGCATTGACCATAAACTACATCTCCCATAATGCATGTTGATTATTTTACCCACAAAATGACAACATCCCACCTCTAGGTGGAGGTGCACAGGGTTCAAAAGTAGATAATAGTAGCCGGTGAAATTTGCTGTATAAAATCTCAATTTCACTACATTTTCAATTATTTTTGCTTTTGGCCCAGCTTTGCTCAGAAGTAGGAATTTCCCATTTACAAGTCGTAAATGTCAACTGGAATGCTCCTCCTGTGGGAATTTTGTCACAAAGTGGGAGAGTTCAGAATCAAAAATGGAAGCTACTCACCACAACTCAGCAGTGAGTAAAACGCTTACTTTCAGTAGTATTTCTGTATTATTTTTAGTCCTTCATACGCGTAGTACTTTTCAGTGTTTATAAGAGGTGGTGTTAAAATGCTGGTTTTATGCAGGAAATACCACGTAGAGCTCAGTGTTTGTTAGCGGTGCTCGGCCATAGCAACAAGATGATCCACTTGAAGTTTAGTGTTTAGTCAAAGTTAAAAATGAAACATCAAACATTTATTACAACTGGCCCTTTGAGAGGCACCATGATGCTGATGTGGCCCTCAGTGAAAATGAGRTTGACACTGTCGCATTAGGAGCAGATATGTTAAAATTGTCTCTCCTAACACGAGTTCAAGCACCGGCAACTCACTATATATTCAAGATGTGTTTAGTTTAGAGTGTGAGGAACCAGAATGCTTTTACCAAATATGTCTAAAAGTTTTTTGAAAAAGTATAATGGACTTAAAGTCTTAATCTTAAATTGTAATCCTTGTATTAATGATTTCTGAACAGATGTTTAGCATGAAGAACTGTTTTTGCTGATGTACTTTGTGACTGTGTACAGAGACTGTAATTACAATTGATTGCTATTGTCTTTTATGACCTTATACAGTAATTGTGTCTAGAACTTTTATGGATTATTGCTGTATGTTTTGATTTTAGATTTTATTTTGTTGTTCAGGGACTACAGAAGAAGTTAGCTTAAGCTAAATCTGSTGCAAAGCATCTTTTCAATGTTGTATTTGTACATTGTCCCTGTTTTAAATAAAGGAATTCTAAAGTAACTTGTTTTTTAACCCCACAAATATACAAGGGGTGGCTCCTCTTACAGACTGTATGATAAAAGATCAAACAAATGGGAGTAACATATGCAACACATCAGCAAGAGTGCAATTTAAGAGCAAAAAAACAACATTTTCTCTTCATTGTACATTTAAAACCAAATTTACATCTGACAAACTGGAGCTAATTATGAACCCTCGCAGAGCACAGCTGTAACAGAAAACAAGTTATTTGATCCTAATTAGCACATTTTTCATCACTCTGTCAAAATATGTCATGTACGATTAGCTGATTTCTGCAGAAATCATAAAGTCAGCACAAATAAATGATAATTAAATAAGAGTCCAGTTGGTCTTCAATAACTGGCCAGTCAAATTGATTCACTTCATCTTTAGACTTGAAACAGCCACACCTGACACCCGATCAGCTCCAGGTTTAACAATGTAATTTGCTTGACGTCCTACTCACCGATCGCGCCTGCTGAGCTGGGTAAGGTCCAAACTGTGCAGGCTGCGGCAGGTGAGGCGGGTGGTGAGGGAGGTGCGTGGGAGGATGGGCGAGGTGGGGAGGGGGAATCAAGAAGGCCGGGTCACTGGAAAGCAATGACGGGAACGCGTAGGGCATGGGCAAATGCTGGACAGAACACGTCTGGATAACCTGGCAGAGAGAATATAGAAATAATAAAAATGTTATTTAAAAAAAGATATTTAAAAAGACGACTACTTCAGAAACTTTTAGGGAGAACTAGGTAAAAACAATCACACTCACAGGAGGAGGAACGCTGCAGATGGGATAATGCTGCCCGCTGAAAACCACCGAGCATGCTGGGATCTGATGTGGGGCGGAGCGAGGGGGCAGGCCCGGCGGCGCGCCCGGAGGAGAGACGGGGTACGATACTGGAATTGAACCCTGAAAACGAAGAGCGAACGTGCAGTTTACAACTTGGATCAGAATTGAAGCAGACTCTCTAAAAGGAGAAGAGCCAAAAGAACAATCCCTGAAGTGTTTGACTAAACTGGATGTAAGCTCTAAAATTTTTTTTAAAAAATGAACAATTGTTCCAAAAAAACAAAGCAACACAGAGGATTATTCAACAAACACCCCTGCACCCACGCTGATAAACCCACCGGATCCTGAATGTCCAGGATGCCACTGCTCTGCTGATGGGGCGGGTGGGGGTGCGGGTGCTGTGGGTGAGGGGACCCGGGGTGCAGAAGCCTGGGAGATAGGTTCGGRGGCGGGTTAAAAGGCCTCGGAGAGGGATTTGGGGCGTGGTAACCCGGGCGCTCTTCGGGACCGGAGCCCAGCCCCCGAGGAGGCAGCTGGCTGAAGGGGGGGTAACCCTGAGGAGGAGCTGGGTGGCGGTAGTTCTCGTCCTGATGGCCCAGGGCCGGGCCGTGGTGGGGGTGAGGGTGGTGGAGACCTGTGGGTGGGTGATGGTGGTGGTTGTTGTTGTTGTTGTTGCTGTTGTAGTGGTGGTGATGGCGAGTCAGGCGGTCTCGTCGGCCACGCTGACGTCTCATTGGAGGGCTGAGGCGAAATTAGGACAAATTACAGAAGTTAAGGGTCATGTTAATACATTTTTTTTTAAATCCGGTTAAACTGTTAATGTTTAAAGTGAAACATTATGGTTGATTAAAGTAAAAATTATAACAAGTGATAAAAACAAAGCAGGAAAAAAAATTATGGGATGTGATTAAATACTTAAATAAAAAACAAACAAATAAGCTGGTAAAAGGTGATTTAAAACCTTAAAACAGGATTGAAGTGCATCTGACATCAAATTTTAGTAATAAATATTAATTCATTTTTGGAAAGATAACATCGATAACATATTGCAAAACAAATTTTATGCTGTTGAGATTAACAGTTGTTGAGATATTTGCATGTGAAGTAACAGGAAGTGATGTCAAAGGGGAATGTCTGTGAACAGAGCGTTGTTACAACAGCCAACAACTCAGAGTGTAGAGAAGAATCTGATGTTTCTTTCATTTTGAGTCACCTTCAGTGGGAGATGACGAAGAATCAGAGTTCAAACAACAATGTTTCAATAAAGAAAGACCAGTTTTCTTTCTTAAAGAGTTCCCCTTTGATGTCACTTCCTGTTACATGTTGGCTGAGCCAAGTTCAGAAGAAAAATGCCAGTTATGTGACAAAATAGGTAAAATTATGTGTAATATGTTAAGTTTCTTAAATATAAAGATGTTTTCTTTGATTTTTTATATTTGAAAAAATATGCATGTCACAGGCACTTTAACATCCATTACTGTAGAAAAGCTTTAAACCATCCCCATGTTTTACACTTTTTTTAAAGACCACGGGGGATTCTGTAATTATTTAAAGTCATCTGGATAAACAGTTCTCCAGAGTTTTTCCTTTTGACAAGGGCTGTTTTTTCCATCTATATTCAGTCAGCTCTTGCTCCTGATAATAGCAGTAATTAGTTTGAAGAATTAATTACGACTAATTAAATAATTATTCATTAAAACAACTGTTTTGCTGCCACTAATATACCTGCGGCGGTTTCTAACAGGCGTGTGGCATCTCTCTGGCATGTAGTGGGGGTGTGGTCTGCGATTAGGAGGCAGCTCCCATGGTCGGATGGGAGAGGAAGGAGTGGACGGAGGGGCGGAGCTTAGATCCAACATGGATTGCTGGGAAAGGCGCTGCCGCTTCGGGCTGGGGCTGTCCTCCAGCTGCATTAAAAAAAAAAAAAAAGGAGTGTGCATGACAGAGTTAACAAAGAAACTCAAATTCTATTCAAACCAGGCAGAGAGAACAGGAAGTGATCATCTTTCATCCTTACTTTGTCCCGATCCTCACTGCACACATTATCTGGGTGAAAATGCAACACACCTCCTGCAGGCCAGAGAATAAATAAAAGCATAATCAGATAAAACAGAGCTGAGGAAAAACATCAACAACACACGATATGTGGACATGCATTTGCTCAGCTAACAAAAAACAGAACACTAAACACAGGTGGCTGGCTTTGATTTCATCTCCCACACTTAAAAAAACACACATACACTTTAATTTTTAAACGTTTCACTAGATTCATCATGGGAACAAAAATGTGCTTCTGACAACATAGATTGTTCCAGTCCCGGGATCATCAGGAGTTGCTTTCTTAAAAAAAAAAAAAGTGTGTGTGTGTGTG